TCATATAATTCATTATTGTCAGTCCTGTGGAGAGGCGATGAAGTCTTGAATGAATATGCATTGTTGACAGGAACATGGCCATGTTAAAGACCACAATGCCTCAGACCCATGGGGATGGAAAGGCCTTCCCTGGTGTGAGTGTGTGTGTGCAGACACTATCACCCACAGCTTCCTAGTCCCTGGATGACTGAAGTCTGACCCTGCAGAGTCCCTTACTGAGATTAACTAACCCGCCCACTCCTCCTTTATGCTTCGTATAATAAACAGTCTGAATTTCCTGGCTGCTGCTAGTACATCTCCATCAGAGTGCATGACCCACCTGATCCCAGTTTGTTCGTATGGGTCTGTCCTTCCTTCATTCCCCATCACCCCGGTTAGGTCAGTCCCTAAGCCTTGCAGGTCTTGATACAGTCCCCAAAGAGAAAAGCAGACAGAAGGAAGAGCATAGATTTAGTTTCTGCAACCCAGTTTGGAGAAGCAAACTGCTAGTTTCTATTGTCTATCTAGAAAAGAAAAAGAAACTGGTGAAAGGAAAACAGAAGATCAGATCTGTCTCTCTCCCTTGTAGAGAGACTGACTGACTGATTAATTGATTAGCTGATCCCTTGATTAACTGATTGACTGATTGATTGAGTCCTCTGAGCTCTGCTTTTGAAGTCAAAGGAGCCTCAACACCATAGCAAAAGACAGCATTTTACTGCTCTGAAGACATTGGGGAGCAGCTTTAGGAACTAGGGACAGAGACCAAACACCGAAACCTCCTTTGTTTCAGCCATCTGGAACAGGGATATGAGACTTGTGAGCCTGTAGGAACTGTGGATGAAACCCAAACTACTTGTGATAACACAGAGAGACAAGCCGAAACAGAAGAATGCCCCTGATGCTAGCCATAAGAACGTGCTAGCAGCACTCCTGGTCTTGCCTTGTTTTTAAAGACATAACACATTTAGGGAGCATAAGAGAGGGAAATAGTTATCGGACAGCCCCCTCTCACTTTTTCGCTTAATTATGTCTTTGTGGTCCCTCCTATCAGACAAGTTTCTATATTAATAGTTACTATTAAAAAATTAAACTAGGCTGTTAAAAAGCCGTTTCATTCTACAAGGAAAATACAGATTCCTACTCTAAACCATGCAACCATGATAAAAGAGACCTGAAGATGGACTTTACTGTGAAAGTAAAGAAAAAAAAATGTTGGAGATGTGAATGAAAGTTTCCAGGGGGAAAAAAAAAGCCATGCTCCATGCTAAAGATCTACACGGCTGATTGACTGC